AGCCCCCAGCCGCAGAAGGGCAGGCAGGAGCCAGTCTGCGCAGGGAGCTGGTTTTTAAAACAGGCTCCTCTTGCGGACCACCTCCTGTCTGCCACCCCACATTGCTGCGTCTGATAGATAGGCAGCAGCACAGGTGGCAGGGGGCTCCCCAGGAGTGGGACTGGAAGCGCACTAACGGCCGAGCCTGCCTCCAGGGACTATCAAATAGTCATGTAACCACTAAAAATGTTATGTGGTTACACAACTATTAAATTACACAGTATCTAGCACCATTATTCAATTCACTACATATTTTAGTAATCTGTAATCCCAAAATGGCATTTAGAGTAACATCACAATTTTGACACCACATTAACCCAACATCGTTGCTGTTATCAAAAAGGAAAGTACTCTCCCCAAGTCTTCTGACAGGCTTAACTAGCCACAGTACGTGCATGCAAATCCAGTGGTTCTCAAACTTTTTCCAATCAACTAACCTCAACACAAAATTTGTTTGGCTGACTACGCTATCACCACTAATTTGAATATTTTAAAAAAATACATATACAATGCATTAACCGACTGACTATATTTTTCTTGGAGTTTAAGTTTAAACAAAAGTAGAGAGATAATTACCCAAACACTCTTATATTCAATACAAACAGGCAAAAATTGGAAAAGCAGCACTGTGTAAATGATCATCAGCACTCCAAAGTTTGGTGCTCTGCACAAGAGTTAAGAATGTTTTTAAAATAGTATTTTAAAAATCAACGTTATCAAGTTTCCTCTCCTCAGAGCCATCACAAGAAAAGTGAGATACAGATGCCTGCACATTAAAAGCAGTTATGAGGACACCTTTGAGCAAACGGTTCAAGAAAGTATTAAATGTATACATATGTACTTATGAACCAGTTCACAGTAACTGATGACTTTGGGATTTTGAGCCAGTGCTCAAGTTATAGAATCAAGTTCTATCATCCCTACTCAGTTTGCTGTTTTTCTGTAGTTGCCAAGACCCAATCAAGACTAGAGACAGAGGGTACAAATACCACAACTCAAAGCTTTCATTTTTCCCTCAGTTCATTTCTCTGTTTTTAATTTGAATTACAAGTTGCACTGGGTAGTGATCCCATAGGCTAAAGCAGGTGCTGCAGTTAAAGTACTTTAATTAAAGTGAGAAAATAATCATGCAAAGCACCAAATTTCATTCAGAGGCTCTTCTAACATGCCTCACTATAGGAATACTTCACATGCACTTTCAAAATAACTGTGATAACATCTCTCAGAGGCACAGACAGGAATCTTGCAAATAGCTTATATGTTCAGGCTGTGTCTAGACTGGCCACTTTTTCCGGAAAATCAGCCACTTTTCCGGAAAAACTTGCCAGCTGTCTACACTGGCCGCTTGAATTTCCGCAAAAGCACTTACGATCTCATGTAAGATTGTCAGTGCTTTTGCGGAAATACTATGCTGCTCCCGTTCAGGCAAAAGCCTTTTTCCGAAAAACTTTTGCGCAAAAGGGCCAGTGTAGACAGCAGAGATTTGTTTTCCGCAAAAAAGCCCCAATCGCAAAAATGGCGATCGGGGCTTTTTTGCGGAAAAGTGCGTCTAGATTGGCCACAGATGCTTTTCCGCAAAAAGTGCTTTTGCAGAAAAGCATCCTGCCAATCTAGATGCGCTTTTCCGAAAATGCTTTCAACGGAAAACTTTTCCGTTAAAAGCATTTCCGGAAATTCATGCCAGTGTAGACGTAGCCTCATTATCATCTCACAAATTCAGTTCACAAGTGTTTACGTTGTAATTAGCCATATCATCATTAGCAGGCATTGATTTGTATCAAAATCCAGCAAACAAGTATTATAAGGACGTGTAAGTTTGCAGAAACTACACACCAAAGTCCAGAAGACCTGAGTTTCACACCCAGCTCTGACAGTTACACAATGTGGGACTTATCCAAAGCCTTTTAGGTCAACAGTTTTTCCACTGACTTAAACTTTGGAAAAGGACCTGTGTGGTTCTGGGTTTTAACTGCTCTAAATCTCAGTTTCCCATCCTTGAAATGAGGATAATCAAATTTAACTCCTTGTAAAATGCATTTTTATCTGTGGATGAAAAACACTATAGAACTACTAAATGATTATTACACAGTAAGTCCCCACTACTTATACAAATGTCACTAAACCAAACAAGTAATTTTTTCCTGAATTAGAGCACTAAAATAATACTCTTTCCAAATCTAAAGTGAAGAAATTGAAAAAATGGCAATCTGTTCAAGTGACTCTAGTTTTGCATTTAAAAAGCATTCTTTTTCTATCCTCAGTCCTATCCTACCTATCCCATCCTAATCTTTAAAAGTTTAGATTTAAAACCAAAGATTAACATTTTAAAAGTGCCTAGCTAACTCAGTAGCCAATGTCCTATTGACTTTCAATGACACTTCATCACTTTTAAACATGGTGCTTAGGTATCCAAATCACTTAGGTACCTTTGAAAATTGTACCCATCAGAAATAAATGTATTTTAAAAAAACAAGCATGGGTTTTCTTTAAAATATAATTGTTTATTCAAAACAATTCCAAGGGAATGCATGAGTTGTGGCAAATTTCTTTCACAGGGTGGCCATTTATTTCAAATTAAGTCAGCAAGGTTTTTAGGCCCCAAAATTTGATCTCACCTATATGCTTTCCCCCCTTCAAAACAAACAAAAGGAACACCATAAAAAGAGCAGAGAATACAAAATAATCAACTGCTATGACTAACTTCCAGCAATTTCCTTTCATATTCAGTGATGAGACCTGGGTATGTGCTGCCATGACAGAGCAATTCCTTTCCTCTGCCAAATGTAGTAAAAAGAAAGGGCCAAAAAAAAAAAATCCTTCTTGCCTTCCCTAAATGAGGAAACTCCGCTTCAAAGGGACTACTGGTGTAAGTATGGCAAGGAAGATTTGGCCACAAAGGGACTCATTCTTTGCACGTTCTTAGGCTGACACCTGATAAAGAAGACTCGAGTATAAGTGCAACAAGGAGCAACATACCACTTGGACTCTACATCCTTCCCCGATTGCAGAGGGCACTGGAGCGCGGGCCTGCAGCTGGGGATTGTCTGACACGGGGCGTGACAGAGCCGCGGAGCGGTTACACTCGGCACGTGCAGAGCCACAGGCGCGCGGCCCTTCGCGCGCCAAGGGGCCTGGCCCTCCTGCTGCTTCTGACATTGCTCGCGGCCTCCCCCGTGGGCAGCTGCGGGGAGGACGCGCCCGGGGGGCAGAGCAGGGGCCCTGTCAAAGGCCCTGCGGCCGCATGAGAGCCCGTTTCACTCCCGCGCCATGGAGTGGCCCCGAGAGCGCAGAGGGGACACGAGTCCGGGTCAGCCGGCGCGCCTGAGGGGAGACGCCCCCGCCTCAGGAAGCTGCCCGCGGGAGACAGCCGCGCGGCCCACTGCTAAAGGGGCCAGCGGCCTCGCCTCAGCCCGTCCAATCGGCTTCTGCGCGGGGCTCTGCTCCCCCCTCCCTCGGGGTGTGCGGCCTGGCCACAGTCACACCCTCCCGCCTAGCGCCGCTGCCCTGCCCCTCAGGCGTTGGCGGCAGCGCCGGAACGTGCCGCGCGCGGGGGGGGGGCCCCACAGCTCGCCAGCCCCGCCCGCAGGAGGAAGAGGAGTGGAGACGGTGGCTAGCGGGGCCGGAAATGACGCTGGGCAGGCGGGAAGGTGACAGTGGGGGCAGGGCGGGCGATAGAGCAGGCGGTTTTTCGAGGGCGGGCTCGGGGGCAGAGGGTCAGGCCAGGTTGTGGATCTGGACGCGGTTGCTGGGTTACAGCGGCTCTCACCCTCCCCCCCCCGCCTGCGGGAGGGGCAGGAGTGGGACTCGGCTCTGGGCGGCGGTGGGGGGCGGGGCAAGGCGTGATGGGCTCTAGCTTGAGTTCCAGGCTGCTTTGGGGCCGGGCAGGGGCTGCTTGGTTTGTGCGCGGGCGCTGTCTGCACCCTCAACAGCTAAATCTGCGACCGTATCTCCCCCAACAGTGCGCCCTTCCACCTAAACAGCCTGGTATTTTCCATCATGCGCACAGGCCTGGGCGCTGTGCAGGTGAAGGGTGTTTGTTTTGATAGTAACATTGGTGCCTGTTGTTAATAATCAGTCTAATTAGTTCAGACACTTCCGGGGAGGGGGTGTTGTTAGTTTTGTGTTTCAATTTAAAATAGTCCCTCTCTTTAGTCTAGTTTATTATTGTATCTCATTGAAGACTGGTATTTCAGTTGCAACTAGAATCAATTTTTAAATAACGATTAAACTGGCTTTAAAAATAACCCAACAATTGTATTTTCTTAATGGTGATATCCCTAAAGTTAATGTATTGATTAAAACAATGATCTTTCAAATATTTATGCGGTAGGCTTGCACACAATTATAAGTGTTTGCAAGGTTGGGGACCTCTGTGTCACGCTGTTTAGAATGCAAAATATTTATGCAAAGGCATCTTTGGCAACCTAAGTCCTCCAGTTGTCCCTGGATTATTTAAAGACTGTATTAAACAATCAATTCAACAACCAGACAGATCAAAGTTATCTTAAAATATTTGTTGGCCTACAAATATGGGCAGAATGTGAGGTAGACAGCCAAACAATAATTCATCATTGGAATGCATTAAAAATTATGTTTCAAATTTCTCCACCCATTCTGTGAGCAATGTTGAGAAATGTAATATTTTTTCCTCTGATAACATACGCTAACTTTGTACTTCTTTGCTGTTGTCTTGACTTTTTTTATCCAAAATAGATATAGACTATTGTTCCCATAATATAAGAACTAGGGGTCAACTATTTAAAGTAATAGGTAGCAGATTTAAAACAAACAAAAGGAAGTTTTTCTTCATGTGGCACACAGTCACCTGTGGAACTCCTTGCCAGAGGATGTTGTGAAGATTAGTACTTCAACAGGGTTCAAAAAAGAGCCAGATAAATTCATGAAGGTTATGTTCATCAATGGCTATTAGCCAGGAAGGATAGGAATGGTGTCCTTAGCCTCTCTGTCTGGAAATAGATGACTTGATGACACGTGATGATTGCCTGTTATATTCACTCCTTATGGGGCATCTGGCATTGGCCACTGTTGGCAGACAGGATATGGAGCTAGATGGACCTTTGGTTTGGCCCAGTACAGCTGTTCTTATGGTTTTAGGTATTACTGTAATACATATAAATAAATAACAAAGAGTTCCAGTCATATATCATAGAACCATAGAGCTGGAAGAGACCTCAGATGGTCATCAAGTCCAGCCCCCTGCCCTAGGCAGGACCAATCCCAACTATGAGGATGTCGTTGAGCTGGGTTCTGTATAGACAGTTCCTCCCCCAAAGAATTTACAACCTCAGTTGTACATGTTTATATTGTGCACTACAGACACTATGGTAGCATAGCTATGGCACTGCAGCAGTGCCACTGTAACATGCTGATTTACACATTTACTGCAGCTATTGAAGAGGTTCTTCCCATTACTGTAGTTAATATGAGAAGCAGTGTGTAGGATGGTGGAAGAATTCTTCCATCACCATCATGGGGTCTACTCTGGAGCTTCGTTTGGTTTCACTGCCCATCTCTGGCTAAGTCTAGACTGCACATTTCTTTCAGAAGAAGCTTTTCTGGAAGAGATCTTCCAAAAAAAAATTCTTCCAAAAGAGCATCTGCACAGCACAAGCGCATAGAAAAAGCAATCTGCTTTTTTGAAAGATAATGTCCAGGGCACCTGTGCTTTTTCCTCTTTCCTCTTCTTTTGAAAGAATTCCCTCTTCCCTGTCCACACACGTCTTTTTCTGAAAGAGCTCCTTCACAAAAAGGTTTCTTCCTCGTAGAAAGAGGTTTACTAGTGTCGGAAACCCCCTCTGTTCTTTGATTTTCCTTTGAAAGAACACGATTGCAGTGTGGACGTACCCTCTGATGCCTGAATTTTTCATACCACTGAGTGACATAGCTAGGTCTATGTATGTTTTAGGTATATACCAGGCCTACATAATTGAAGATCGAAAGAAGGCAACTGGAGGTGCATTTGGAGTTGCATTCCACAGGTGGCTAGAGAGGGGAGCTAAACTAACTTCCTTTCTAAATATATAATAAAAGATTTGATTTTATTAAATTATTTTTGTTGGACCAGGTTTGCAAAGGTATTTAGGTACCTAAAGATGCAAGTAGTAGCTTTAATACCTTTGAATTTTTAAACACCTAAGTACCTTTCTAGATCTAGCCCTTTGTTACATACTTTTAAACTCTATCCTTGATTTTTTTTTTTTTTTTTTTTTTTTTACTATATCACAGTGGAGAGAGGTATCATAATGAACTATATCAAATTCTTCTTTCAAGAACATAGTGTGCCTCAGCTTTAACATAGATAGAGAAGGCACTGTTTTACTTAAAACACTGTTTCAGAAAACTATGGGAGCTGTAACTTTGTACTGAAGCAGTGTTGCACATAAGAATTACAATTTCTTAGAGGAGTGTGTCATCTTGGGATAATGCTTACTTTGTATTATATTAATAGTTACATCTTTTGAATATCTGTACCATGTATTCTTGTTTTGTAATTTGGAATTTCTAAATGTTTTAGCTTTCAAACAAACTCTTTTGATCTTAGTGATAGAAATGTAGCCGTGTTAGTCTGGGGTAGCTGAAGCAAAATGCAGGACAATGTAGCACTTTAAAGACTAACAAGATGGTTTATTAGATGATGAGCTTTTGTGGGCCAGACCCACTTCCTCAGATCAAATAGTGGAAGAAAATAGTCACAACCATATATACCAAAGGATACAATTAAAAAAAAAAGTGAACACATATGAAAAGGACAAATCACATTTCAGAACAGGAGGGGGATGCAGGGGGGGGAGGAAGGAAGGTAAGTGTCTGTGAATTGATGATATTAGAAGTGGGGATATCATATCATCAATTCACAGACACTTACCTTCCTTCCTCCCGCATCCTCCTCCTGTTCTGAAATGTGATTTGTCCTTTTCATATGTGTTCACTTTTTTTTTTAATTGTATCCTTTGGTATACAAAAGCTCATCATCTAATAAACCATCTTGTTAGTCTTTAAAGTGCTACATTGTCCAGCATTTTCCTTTTGATCATAACATTCAGGAGATGCAGATTATGCCATTTCTTATTAAAAAAACATTTTGCTGTAGGATTACACTACTATCCAACAGTTCACAAATTACATCAATTACCATATGGGCAGTTTTAGGCTTTACATCTGTAATCTGATCTGGAGGGGTTTGGAGAAAGCCAATTGACTTCATACAGAGATCCTTGTGAAGCACCCCATGACATTCAGGTTCTGTATAGATGTAGTGTTTTATCCCCTAGATGAGAGTATAATATGGAGTCCTTGCCATGAAGGCTTCTAAAAAGATTGCTCCCTACAAATGGAAATACTTGTTTATATCGTGCAGTATATTAATATGGTGGTTTGTTTCAATATATGTTGGAAAGAGTTAAAATATTTCAGACAAGTGTTGTTTTATCTGTATATATTGTGTGGATATAGAATAAATAAGCATAAAAATCTCCTGGACAGCTTATTTAACTTTGAATTCCCACATTTCTATATCACTATTTTTTTGTAACCTCAGTGTGAAAGACTTGGGGTCTGGGGCAGTCCTGGAAAGGGAGAGATGCATCCCCAGTCCCTTTTACCTGCCTGGTGATTGTCTCTTTTCTGTATGGTTTTTATTCATCCCTGCCCACATGGCTGGGGAGCTTTCCCTCTCCGCCTCCTGCACAATCAAACCTTTACCCAGCTTTACGTTATGAAAAAAGGAGGCTGCATGCCAAATTTGATGATCCTAGCTCTTCCGGTTTAGGAGGCATTCTTGAACAAATGGACAAACAGACAGACTCACTCACTCACAGACAGATTCTCTCAGATATACAGTAGATTTCATGTTATACTATCATAATAAAGTGCATCACAGTTACACGTTTCTTTTTTTTTTAAAGGCTCGATCTTGAAAAGATTGTAGTTGCTTTTGTGAGATGATACATATCATAAATGTGCTGCTATCTGCAGTGCTGACCTTAGGCCCCTGTGTAGGTGGAGAAAACCCCATTCATTCCAGTACCCATATGCACACTCTTCTTGTCCCACCAATCCCCATATTACTAATAGTACTCTTTCATTTCTTGTTGTCCTTCTCTAAAAGCAAGTTGCACCTCTATCTTTTAGGTGGTTCTCATTTGTCACACTACAGCTGGTTGTTGTTGAAGATGTTGAATGTATTTCCTTGCAATTGCCTTTTCCCTTTATAATGTTTTAGATGCATCCACATAGGAGTCTTATAAGCAAATGAAGGGAGTTACCTCCTCAGCAAGGCCATGGCATCAGAGGCAGACAAAAACTTGGGATTTTAGTTTTATTTAGATATATTGAGGAAGTTATAATGGGGTACCACAGGTATTTCTTTGTGGGAGAGGGGCCTTCATAATAGGGGCAGTCTTATGCAAAGACAAATTATCAGACTGTACTCAGTTGATTTCTTCCAGATGAAAGGTATATTCCTTCACAATAATTTAGTTAAATCTTTTTTAAAATAAAAACAGTGAGACTATGGAAGCATTTTTATTGGAGAATTTTATGCAGTTTATTGATATCACTTT